AAAGCTGAAGTAACCATATATTGTAGGAAAAAAGGTTTTTGCACATTTGACACAAGTACACATGTCAACACCAGAAGAGACATAATAACATCTAACAATCCTCTTTAAATTTTCCTGAAGCAAAAAAAAAAATTTTCTATTCCATGAAATACATTTCTGTGGTAATTATTAATTTAATGCTTTTGCAAGTATACAAGAGAGCTCTACTTTTTCCTTGGTCAAATGACAGCAAACATATGTCTACATCTAGGAATATATATATATATATGTATACATATTTACATACATACATATTTAAGAACATCTAAAGAAAATGGGACAGTCTCATACACATATTCAGAGTGTCACAGATATTCCACTTAGGTCCACATTAGTGAGCTTTATGTATTGCCAGTGTTCTATATGAATAGAGTAGAAAAGCAAACCTTCGCTAATGGAACTCCTCTCTATCCATTCATAGAAAATCTAGGTGGAAGTGGTATGATTAGCTCCCATAAGAAAAATGCCTGTCCTTCTCACCAAATTTCTCCTGGGTAAACATAAATGTAATTTGTTCTGGGAATTCAACATTCAGTTACACTGGCTACAGATGAATTGCAGTGACTCACTGTTTTTCCTGTGTGAAGGTAATATCCATAGAAAAAGAAATGTTCCAAGTGGAGAAAATACAGCTTCATGTAGATTAATTAATGAATTTCTCTGGGGTAAGCTTTACTTTTTTCCAACTTCAGTTGAAAGAAAAACAACTATGTATTTGTCTCAGATCCCTGAGACATATTATAGGACAGCTCCAATCCTTCCCAGATAAAGTGACTCATTATCTGTGCATAATCAATTGGGGAAAACATGTATTATCAAGAGGGGATAGAATATGGGGTATAAGTGAAATGATTCACATTCCTATTGTGTCACATTCACATACCATGGGTTCCCTGGTGAATCCAAAACTGTACAATTCAGTCGGTATTTTCTCTTTGATTATCTTAGGTTTCTGTTCGTGCTCTCATGCCAAATACATTCTATTTTCATTACAATTTTAATCTTTGGCTGATGAGAGTTCTTTTTAAATGTTCCCATTCCAGTTTTATACATAACCGAGGTTGCAAATGGAACTTATAATAACAAAACAGGAATTATAAATCTGAGCTAAGGTTGAGATGAGGGAAATTAAGCATTCCAATCTGGGGCCCACTAAAGCTTCTATAATTCTCTTCTATTCCCTTGCTTTGTCATCTGTTGGATGGGTGTGCAATAACAGTTCTCTCTTATGTCGCTTAATGGAAGGAAACCCATTTCATGCATTCGTTTTTTGGAGAAGGCTTACAATTATAGTATTTTAAATTTGAATGTATACCTAGGGGGTGGGGCAATTACTTGTTGTTATGTAATTTCTAATGATAGCATTGTTTAAAATTGCAGATTACAGAATAGGAAACACAGGTGCAATTTCAGAAGGCTAAAAAATAAGTCAGAGCTGAAATATGAAGGGCCTGAATGCCATCCAAAAGAATTTGCATTTTACTCTATAGGACCCATTATTTGGTGAAATTATTTTCACAGAGCATTTGTGCTAGAGGATGTTATTATGCTCAAGGCAAGCTCAGTTAAATACATTTGGGTTTACTTATAATAGGCCTTAAATATGCTTATGTGCATTGTGATTCTACAAGAGGGGGTTTTTATTCTTTTTCTCAAACTAAAGAATGTCACATGGTAATAGACATACATCAAATGTGAAAAATGTTCCAGTTTGACATGACAATGTTGGATATGAAGAAAAGCTAGCTGTTATTATTATTTCAAAATTTTCTATGTAACAGGAAAGGAAAAATGAGGCTTGCCCTAACTTGTTCTTCCTAGGCTAAAACTGGTCCTTCTTTCCCTCTTACTCCCAAACTGAGCATTCCCAGCTCATTTTTAAGGGGTTCCCTCCCCCCCACCAATTTCAACTGTTGAGTTAGACTTTCTGTTCTCTAACCAAATATATACATATACACACATATGTGTGTGTGTGTGTGCGCGCGTGTGTGTGTGTATACACTCATGTGTATATATATATCTACCTGTGCATTCTTTTTTTTTGGCGGCCAATAATAAACAAGTACATTCATGTTCCTGGCTAATTTATACTTTGACTATTTCCTCTCTGGATTACCTCCAGTTTTTGCCCATTCAATCGAAGGTTAGTTTACATATAGAGGAACTCTTGGTATCTAGAATTAGGGAGGAAATAGAAAGGAAAACTGAAATACTGACACTATTCTGCATAGGAATGTGTGATGAGAAAAGGAGACCAAGACAATATAACGGGTCCAAAATATTTGTCTGGTTAGTTTGTTAGTTACCTGTTCCATGCTGGTGTTATTTCATTGTTCTGCCAACAACCACAACCCAATAATTTAGGAAGGCTGTTTGTATGCCTTCCAGTATAATGTTGTTTTGGGTGTATACTGTGGTCATGTCAATGCATTTTCCTCTCAAATTATTTGGATGTTTACAGAAAATTCCTCAAATAGCTCAGTGGGCATCAGTGAGCCAGAAAAGTTATTTAAAAGCCTCTCCAATAATCCTGCAAACTCTCCCTTCTATGTGAGATAGTGGGGTTCCACACTGATGCCAGCAAGTAAAAGAGAAGGAAGCAGAAGGACATTCTTTGATCCAGTGTTAACAATGAAGAGAATTTTAAAAGTTCTTCAGCTAGATCAGTAAAATCTAGAATCAAGCCAGTGGAGGCTGACCAAACACTTACAAATACGTTGTCTACATTTGTACTTATTTATGACTTGCATTTCCTTTTGAGGACAATTCTAAAGATGAACAAGATTTTTACATGGTCAGGATATTTACATTAGTTTGGCTCTTTAATGGCCTCCCATTGCCCCTCCCCTCCAATCCAAAGGCAAAAGCTGAATTTAAGGGTTTTTCATATGGATATCCCAAAGACAGCTTATCAGCCACAGGTTAAATATTTATGCACAAATGATTTTTGATGCATAGATTTCTTGTACTCTACAGATGAAGAGCAAAACTATTGCTATTATCAGTGGATTTTATTTACAGCTCTGTCAAAATTATGTGAAAATAATTATCTCCCAAGAATCATTCTAGACATCTTTCTATACAAATTGGAGTGTGTGTGTGTGTGTGTGTGTGTGTGTGTGTGTGAGAGAGAGAGAGAGAGAGAGAGAGATTGGTCATACAGATTAGCTCAAAAGCTATTCTGGCAAGTCTGATAAACTAAATTGCATGTAATGACCTTTAAATAGTAGGCTACTACCCAGAAAGAGATGACTTCAAGCTCAAATTTCTCATAGCAAGGCTTGGATTAAAGATGTGACAACAGACTTCTGAGAGAGGAAAAATCCATTCATCATAAAAAGGCCATTAAGCTCCAGTTGTAAGAACATCTTTGACTCAGAATCTTTTATTTCCACCAAGAAAACCACTTATGCTCATGGTTTAATATCCTAATTTGAAAAATGGAAGACACACTAAATTAAATTTTAATTTATACTGCACTTCTATGTCTGCTTTCTTTGTTTCTCTAATGCAAAACATGCACCAAATGATACAAATCATATGTATCATTTCCATCAGAGAATCTCACCCACTAAAACAGTGATGACACAATCTTATTTTGAAGCCAAAAGATAGAAATATTAATAATTTGCAGATGCACTTTGAAAATAATCCTTGAAATTTCTTCAAAACAACATCATTTTAGGTTACAGCACAATAGCTGATGGAAAAGAGAACTCCAAAACAAATGATATTCACGAGTGTTTTAGTTAATTTTTTAGTGGGAAAATAACACAAAATTGGATTTTCACGCAGGATTACAGTGGTCCTAGAAATAAAATGGTTTTTCAATTTCTCCTCATTAAGGAAGTGAGACCATATTCCTGGGTCAATTTGTTTGTGTTTGTCCTGTCTCTAGTTCAGTCTTGATTATCTTTATGTCTCAGAATCCATGACATGGATTTAAAAATCTTTTTTATTTTCTTTGGGTGGTTCTGGGAATTGAACCCAGGGCCTCATGCATGCTAGGCAAATGTTCTACGATGATCTACATCCTCTAGCTCTCCAAGGTTAAATTAAATAGATGCAGTGATCCCACAATACCCAGACTATTCATTTCTCTGTAAAGTGGAAGAAATTCAACCTTTAGTAATAGGAGTTAGTTCTACCTAAAATCACTAATATAACTAATAGAATGTGGTCATCTTCAATAAGATCAATGCCCAGATCTTGTTTTTTAAAAATCCAACAACATATCCCAGTTATAACCCCCAACCAAGGCCAAATATCCAGCAACTTCGCAATCTATTTGTCCTCAGAGCTAAAATAAAACAGTGCTTCAGCTAGTCTCTCCTAGTTTCACTTCAAAAGAAAAGGAAGTTTCCTTTTGAAAAGAGTCCCTATAACACCACCTGTTTCTTTTTTCCTTGTCTCTCAATTTTCTGAAGACTTTAAGTAGAAGTCAGGCCTTGACAATAAAATATCCCATCATGTATCAATATTCTGTTCATCTGAGAAACACAATAGGTTTCCTTGTTATCTTACACATAGAGCTAAATTATTACCTGAGAACCAGAATTTACCCCCTTACTTTATAAAAATACTGTTTTTAAAGGGTTACTTAACAGCAGAATCTTTTAAAATCAATATGTAATACTGAAAACTAATATACATATATTTTCATAAGAATTTCATCGTTGGGGGGGAAAATAAAATCTAAACTGTACTGAAGTGCATCATCTATTGCTTCTTCAGATCTTTTTATATACACTTAAGCACAAATATACTGTGTGAAATGCTTTAGGTGCAAGGTGTTGTGCTTACCCAAAGATTTAAAAGATTATCAGTTCCTAGTATTTATGGAGCAAAGCATATGTGGGTTTATAAATAATAAAATTAGATGCAAATTTAGGTAACCATTCATAACTTAGTGAAAAGATCGTGGTTCATCTTTTGGAGAAGTTGTCTCTGAAACAATCCAACTAATCACAACTTTCCTTTTTCTCTGCAATAATACACCAGTTGCCATGATCATTTCCGGAGCTCAGAATACGGAGCTCGGTCACGTTCTCCTGCAGCAGGTCACAGAGCTCACCTTCACGAAACACATGGTAGTAGCGCATGAAGGCTCTGGAATCCAAAATGTCAGGCTGTTGTTCTTGGACAGAAATTGTGTCATCTGGGTTGGAATCTGTAGAGTCGATGGTAGAAATCCTTCTCAATATTTTACTGGCAGAAGGGTTGCCTTCCTCTAAGCTACCTGCAGTCACATGATTCTCATTGGTATTGGTGCTGTCCCGAAGGCTCCCCTCTCCATTTCTCTGATTTTCTCCTTGATGGTCTCCATTTAAGTGCTTTGAAGTACCTGAAGCTCTCAGCCACTCCAAGTGTTTTTGAGAAGTTTCTACAAACACTTCCTCATCGAAGCTTGATGCTTTCGTTGAAAATGGCTCTTGGTGATCCAAGTCTAAACTGGAATGTCGAGAAGGCTGGATGGATACAGGGCTATTGGCCCAAACTTCTGTGGTTTTCAAGGGTCTCACTTTTTCAATTTGCTTCCGCAGAGTGGACTCATCCAAAGATCTGGAGAAAAACCACGAACGAAAAGATCTTCCTAATGTGTTATAGATGCCATTTTCTTCCTCACCTTCCTTTGAAGTGTTTCCACAACAGGTCCTAGCCATAACAGGTTCATAGTCCACGCTGTGGGACCGTTTGGAATCACATCGCTCTTTAAAACAAATGGAACAGCCATACTCAGGGCAAGCGGGGTGGTAGGGATGGCTTGTTTCTGGATGTCCACACTGCCTCTTTCTCCCGGACTGGCTGGATTCTGAGAAGGGCTGGGAACAGAAGGCCCTGTTCCAAGGAACAAGCACATCTTGCTTCTCAAAATGTCGGTTCTTTTGTTCCATTGCCCAAACATAAATCATCATCTGTCCTCTGGGAACTAAAACCCTGGCCATTTCTTTTATTGCTTGGATTCTTCTTTGTTTTGTAGAAAAATGGTGTATAACTGAAAAAGAGAAAACTAGATCTCAATGTGTGTATACACACATAAACACACACACTTAACATACATACATAATATGTTTGCACATAACAATGATGAAATTTTGACATATAGTAAAACCTCCTTCTTTCCTACATGGGAGGAGAGATGGAAGAAATAGCATAGGTTTTGGGAGATATAATTTTTGCTTTGGCTTCTGTACTTTTAGGCAGCTAATCTTGGGCCAGTTATTTAAGTACAATCGATTTTAAGTTTCTTAAATCATAACAAGAAGCCTAGAATAAATAACCTCTGAGATCCCATTCCAAAATCCTGTGAATTTTGTTAACCAGAGGGTCAGGTCTGAATTACTAAAATTGTAAGGAATACTAAGTTAGGTAAGTGTTTTCTGGTAGGATTTTATAAAATGACTCACTGCTTTAATGAATGATTGTACTTCTATAGCAATAAAAAAATTAACATCACTAATTATTAGTGTCAATAAAATTAATAAAGCAAACAAAAATCAAGAAAAATGTTAAAGATTGCTTTTCTGTCTAAATAATATCAAAGATACGTCAGCCTACCACAAATCCAAATGATTACATGTTTTTTAAAATGCTAATATGCTATTGTGTGTAGTTAAACAAATAAATTTGTAGATTATCATTTTGCTTCCAATCCCTTCAAAATGAGCCTCAAGCAAAACTGCCTTTATCTAGGCTTATTTTTATCCAAAATATGTAGAAAGTGTTAGTCTGTTAGTTCTTGGAGGAATCTAATCACAGTATTGTGTCAAGAGAAAACATCAAATTATTTTTCTAAATACAAGTGCACTATATATCTCAGTGAGAAAAGGAGTCCCAAGCAAAGCTGGGAGACTCTGGCTCCCATATGAGCAGTAAGGGCAGAGAGTGGCTAACACCACTGCTCTAAAGCTCACCATAATCTTGTTGTTAGTAGTGATTTTAGGTATATTAATGTCTGCAGTTTACCTGCCACAGAGATATATTAAGTATCTAAAATGAGACTCATGTGTAGATAAAACCGTTAAAGGCAGTTCATGCAAGAGGCAAACTGTATTAATAGCCATCAGATTTTTATTCCAATCAAGAGCATACAAACCCTCCTATCTTTACCATGCAGCAGTGTGAGAAAGCTAGAGGTGTGAGGGTTAGATGTGTTGAAGAACAAGACACCAGCATATTCCAACCTAGATCTATCAAGAGCTAGCCTTGTGATCTTTGACCAAGCACTCTGTTTTACTAGGCCTTAGTCTTCTTTTCCCAGTCCCCAGAGAGAGGGCCCTTTATGGACCCTCAAATGCTTCATTTGAAAGCATATGTTTCTAGAAGTAGTTCTTTGATCATTGAGCTACAAGGAGGCCTAGGGGTCAGAACTGAGAAAGACGCAATGCATTGCTGATGTTTATATCTTATCTACCACTGTTCAGGGCTGTTGACCTCTCCCATAACCTGTGCCTGATGCACTCTAAAATTTATACGGGTACTTTTTTTTTTTTTTTCAAATTTTAATTTGTTATATATGACAACAGAATGCTTTACAATTCATATTACACATATAGAGCACAATTTTTCAGATCTCTGGTTGTACACTATGAGTACATTTCTAAAATACAACCTATTCTCATTATTCACAGATTCTGTATTTGCAAATTTGCCCACTTGCTAAGATTTATTTGTAACCCTCCAAAATGAACAGTCCCAGACTCTCAGGGTCATTCATTAGCTTGTGCAGAGAAGCAATTTGAGCCTTTCAAAGAACATGTTCCCAGCTGAGGTGGAACAAAGTAACCATCTCATTTTAATTTCAACTCTAATACTGTAAACAAGTGCTCTTTTCATGGTCTATTTAGTTCCCTGTTTAAAACAGCATCCAAGCATAGCACTGTCCTATTGTCTGGGCTCCTAAGCACAGAGGCTGTGACATAATGTGCCCCAGGGAGAAAACACAGGAGCTATATGCACTTCATCCAGGCATGACTGAGAATGCTGTTGGCATGAGCTTAAAATTAAAGTGAATTTAAACAGAAACATACATAAAACAAGTTTATATATCAATTGGTTATTGACAAAGATATATATTGACAAAAATGCTAAGATCAGCAGCTTGCAGGAATCCCATCCTGTATTCCTTCTGGGGGTCACAAATGCCCACAAATTTCCTAATTTTGTGTTCATGGGAACTTTTATAGAACATAATTCATGTGACTAGTGACAATTTATTGTGTTGCTTTACAAAGGCTATCAAAGGAAAAAAACAACTAAACTGAATTATTTTATGGTAGACTGATAGGTCTCTGATATTTCAGGATTCCATTCAGCTTCCAAAGAAGTTTTATATTTTAAGAAAGAAAGTCTTTATTGATTTATTGATGAGTAAGTAACAATTCACCTCTAACATATTTTCACCCAGAAAAATCTGAATATTAAACATGTAATAAGTAACAACTTTAAATCAACGTTTTGGAGGGAAAAAAAGGTTAAAAATAAAGATTTCTTCATTACATATACAATGCGACACACATGCATATACATAATCTATTAAGAAGCATTGCAAGTGTATTTGCAATGGGACACAGAATTTATCCGAAATATCAATGTCAGGAAACTATGTTGAATTTTTAAAAGATGAAAAGGAGTCTCCCTGTTTATAAATCATAATAAAAAATAGCTTAAAGGCTGTTTTTTTTTTCTATAGCAATATTTTCCTGCTAAGATGCTAAGAGCCTAGAAAATAGATAGGTTGAATTCAATTACTGGACTCCAGAATCAGGTGAAAAGTGACACAAGATTACCTTTAAGGTCCTGTCATATCTTGATATTTTATGATTTACTGTTATTTAATTTTAAGAGTGTGGTGTTTATCTCTCTAAGCATAAAGAAGTTATAGGCTTAGTGTAAAACCCTAACCCTACTGACATTTGGGTATAGATAATTCTCTGCTGTGGGGAAGCCCCCTTAGATGACATTAGCACACATTCACCTACCCATTTTAACCATCAAAAATATCTCCAGACATTGCCAAATGTCCTGGAGGGATGGGGGAGAGGAGTAAATAACCCCCCAGTTGTAACTTTATTTATATGTGGTGCTGAGAATCTAACCCAGCTCCTTACACATGCTAGGCAAGTGCTGTACCACTAAGCTATAACCCCTGCCCCAGAATGTTTCTTTTTCTAATGTGTCAGTAACACATGATGAATATATAACTAGGCATGATTCTTATCTCTCATATTATTATTAAGAGATACCAAAAAGTAAAATTTTCATGTAAAGATAAGCAAAACGTGCCAAATAAAAAATTTTAAATAGGGAAAACAGAAAAATGTAGACATGAAGAGTCTACTGAAATTTCTCATACTTTTGTTCTAAATGTGAAACATAACTGAAAATGACCATACCCCATTAATTCATAGTTACAGTTTATAAAAATATGTGCTATTTTTCCACCTAAGGGAGCGTCTTAAATTGGAATAGCAATCAGGTGTGCTAGTCGTTTCTGTTGCTGTAACAGATTACCACAGACTGGGTAAATTATAAACAATACAAGTTTATTTGGCTCATGGTTCTGGATGCTGAGAAGTCCAAGATCAAGGGACCAGCATCTGGCAAGAGCCTTCTTGCTGCATCATAACATGGTGGGGAGCATCCCATGGCCAGGAAAGAAGAAAATCTGCCCAACTGATCCTTTCATTTGAGGTCAATTTCCATGATAACGAAACCACACCCACCATACCACCCTTAATAAATTCACAAGGGGCATGCCCTCTTAAACTCGTAAAGGTCCCACCTCTTAATATTATTATGATGGCAATTAAATTTCAACATGGGTTTTAGAGGGGACATTCGAATCATAGCATCAGGTACACTCCATTTTCTCTGAGGAAAATAGAGGATTATCCAGATACACAAGGAACATTTACTCAAAGTCAAAAAGCTGGTCAATATTCTCTTCCTCAGCAATGGCTCCGTGGCACAGCCTGAATGTAGATATCCTCAATGGTCCTAAAACTAAGGCAAATGAAAGAACAAAGAGAACTCCCTCTGATCTCTAGTTCTTTCGGTGGAATGACTAAGCCATAAACTTTTCCCACAAAAGATTCAAAACATTGCCTAATGTTGCTTCGTTCAACAAGAATCTTAGTAATGTTTATGTTCCCCCAAGATTCATGTCCAAGTCCTACCCCCAGCGTGATGGTGTTAGGAGGCAGGAGTTCTGGGAAGTAATTAGACTTAGATGAGGACACAAGGGAGGGTCCCCATGATCAGCATAGTGCTATCATATGAAACGACCTTGTGAAGACACCGCAATAAGGTAGAAGACAGCAGCCATCTATTAGCCAGAAAGAGAGCCTTCGCCAGAATTCAACTCTGTTGGTACCTGATTGATCTGACTCTCACCCTTTAGAATTGTGAGAAATAAGTGTGTGTTGTTCAAGCCATCCATTCTGTGATATTTTGTTACTGCAGCCTGAACAGACTAATTCTTACAACCAAATGGACTAAACAGTTTCAAGTGTAGAGAAGTAAGATGTCACAGAGCAGGTTCCCATGGCAACCACCTCTTGTCAGTTCTAATCAGTTCCAAGGTTATGGTATCTCGGCTGGCATCCCTAATTGTGCATAGTAATGTAGTTGAACCAACCAAATCCTCATGTATTTCAGGAAAGAGAAAATAGTCTTATTCTGTATTTCTTCATAAATAGTAGTAGTCAGTTTTATGTAAGTTCATTTTGCTTTGATAAAGCTTGTTATATTCAAATAGACTAATTTTTAAGTGTTTTGGAGCAAGTAGTTGACTCTGAAAAAGATTTTCCATTGCAAAAGAGCATATCATGTGATTCCCTTAAATATAAGGTTTCTTAGCACATTTATAAATGACTAACATATTAGGTATCAGGAATATATTTCAAGCACTTTTTTTTTTCTTACTTTTTTTGGTATATGTGTTTTCTGGGCATATTTGTTGGAAAAATATGAGGAACTCGTTCCCTACACTCATAAACAATCCCTGGCATTAAGGAACAGAATGGCGTCTGGGACCAGGTGGAACCCAACTTCTCCAGGAACTTGAGTACTAGTAAATGGCAGTTGATCTTGATAACATTTGGTTTTATTAGTCTTAGAATTATGTTAATAAAGGGCACTATTGTAGCCTGAAAAAGCCAATATGATGCCCCCAAATCTACTTCATTTTGGAGGAGCCTGGCTTCATTTCAATAGAACAAAGTACCATTTTCAATGAGCAAGATTTCTCTAATATTTCCTTATTCATTAGTGAAAGAAATGGGAATTATTTACCAAAAAGAATAGAATAACAGCTTAAAGGTTTAAATAGTTATAACAACATATGTACCATAAATGTATTTGAGGTTAGCCAAATAACTCAAGCAGCTGAAATATTTTTAAAAATCAGATAAAATGGATTACATGACCACTCTATATACAGAATAAATGTTGAGTCATGAGAGTAGCTTCAACCATGTAAGTTATTCTCATGGCAAAATATGAACATGTGACCCTGCTGCCTTACCTCCTATGGAGATGATGGCATCGAAGCCCTGATCCCTAAAGGGGAGATTAAGGTTGTCACATACCATGACTTCACATCCTCTACTCCGGGCAATCTCTACCAATGGTCCACAGTAGTCACAGCCCAGGGTATGTACCTGGCTGTTTACTTTAAGATACTTTCCAGTTCCACAGCCTATAAAAGAAAAACCTGTGTTATATGCAATCTTTAATAGAGAGTGGAAAATTATTTTTCTCACAAGAATCAATATGAAGTTTACATTAAATCACCAAGGTAGAATATGAGTGTGAAGGTATTCACGGAGGCAAAGGAAGAGGCTTCAGAGAGCACTCACATACTTTCATATAGAAGAGAAAAGAGAAATGGAATGGAAAAAAAATATTTCTTGAATAGTCACTGAGTTAATGCCCTTAGGACTGACTGAGCACACTTGCATAACTAGACATGTTAGCTAGCCCATTGCTGGGAATGACAGTTTCAGCAACCTGAACGAGGGACAGACAGGGTACAGTCTCTGCCTTAATGTGTATTCCTATTGTGCATGTGTGTATATTATAGCATTTGTTCTCCTGATGCTTCTCCAAAGATTCTTATCATTTGCCCACTAGGTTCAACTACTGCCATCAACTTTCAGTAGCTATAAATAAAAGAATTTACACAATAAAACACACTCTTAAAATTTTTTAAATCTGAAAGGGGTGTTGCAGCTCAGTGGTAGAACGCTTGCCTCGCATATGTGAGGCACTGGGTTTGATCCTCAGCACCACATAAAAATAAATGAATAAATAAAATAAAGGTATTGTGTCCATCCACAACTAAAAAATATTAAAAAACAAAGATGGCTCATGTGGACTTCTTAAAATTTTTTGAAAATCTAAATATGAATAAAAAAAGAATTGTTAACATCATTTCATTCAATTATTATATTATTGCCATTACTTATCAGCTTCGGTAATACGTCATGACACTCCTTAATAACTCCTCCTTAATAGGTGCTTTTCAAACTTCTAAAAAAAAAAAAAACAATTTAAAGTCCTCTGATGCCAGATGAGACAGTGGAGAGCATATGGATAAATTTAACATTTCCAACCTTATTATCTCAATGAGAATGACTGAGGTCTTAGAAACGTTAGATCTCACAGCCCCTGTTCCTAATGCTTATGAGAAAAAGCCCCATTGTTTGAAGGTAATCATGGGGAAAATATATTTCACAATGTATTTTAAAACTGAAATCCTGTATATTTCAAAGATGATAGTTATACTTAAAAAAATCTTGCAAACTCATTTGCTTATTTATTGGCTTGAAAGATATATTTGGAAAAATGAAAGAGAAAAATCACTTTAAAGATACTAATAAAAACAGGTTAATAAACCATTACTGCTGGAAGGAACTATTCAGAAAACATTTAGTAAAAAAGAAGAAACTGAGGTATTTTCAAATTTAAACAGTGTCTGATACCTTTCCAATGTCCTGGCATCCTTGATTTATCCCATATTCATTTCTAATGACATTAGATTTATCCCATATTCATTTCTAATGACATTCACTTTTAAAGGTAGTAGTGGAACTTCCAAATATGATGCAATTATCCATATTCTAAGTGCATACACTGAGATGCGAATGAGGGGAAGACTCCATCCTCACAAGGAAATCAAGAATATTGACAGGCTAAATTGTTCCATTATTTTCAATGTAAATCAGAAGCTGAATACTGTGGCACGCTTCAGTCCACAATAATCACGCTCCTTTACAAAATCTCATTAAATGATAACCCTGCATAGTACTAAAGAGAGATACCAGGAAGTGTCTGCATGCTTACAGTCTCCTGGATTTTGTATTTTGTACTACACTATGGTTAAAGGAGAGAACAGATAATTGTCTCAATTCAACAAAATGTTTTGGTCCAGTATGGGCAAATATTTGCTGATATACTAATACAAACATTCTCTCCAAAGTTTTGAAAAAGAATCACATTTTTAAAATTGAGAGTTCTAGACTAAAATCTTCTCTGAAAGAGAATTCTCTTTTCCTATGACAAAAAAAAAAAGGCAAATGCTATATGCATTTTATACACAATTTCTTAAGTCGAGGAATGAGGAAATGTTTTATTCTATTAGGCATGGTGTCTGCTGTATGGGATTTAGTCAGTCAAAAATGACTATTGATACTGAGAATAAATACTTTGAGAGTTAAGAGGCAAATGGAATCCTAATTATTGACAAGTTAATTTTTATGTACACAAAAATAACATTTTTAAGGGGCTGGGGTTGTGGCTCAGTGGCAAGCAATTGCCTAGCATGTGTGAGGCACTGGGTTCGATCCTCAGCACCACATATAAATAAAGAAAGAAAGAAAGAAAGAATAAAGGTACATCAACAAGTAAAAAATATTAATTTTTTTTAAGATTTTAGGATACTTTTCTTTGGGGTCAGGAAAAAAAAGGGAATTTTTCTCAAAAAAAAAAAAAAAAAAAAAAAAAAAAGGACTTTCTCCTACTTTCTAAATTCACGCAAGTGAAGATTTCAAAGCACACAATGCCCTCCATGTCTGATGCACTTAAAATTGACTGGGGTGGGGGAGTGTTAGGGAAGAATAGAGGTACTCTGGATTAGACAGAGGGGAGTGAAGGGAGGGGAGGGGATACCGGTAAGAAGGATAGTAGGACGAATTGGATATTATTACCCTATGCACATGTATGATTACACGACCAGTGTAATTCTACATCATGTACAACTAGAAGAATGAGAAATTATACTCCATTTATGTATGGTGTGTTTCAGGTCAAGGTATTGCCATAATTGCCCAGGTCACAGTATTGCCTGAAAGTACTGTGGTGTTCCTGTTCTTTGAAGTTGTTTTAAGTTAGGCCACATTTCCTGCTCCTTTACTCCCTGATTCCAAGATTTAGCTTCCCTCTGGGAGTGCCTGCCACACACCTCCGCCAATCAGCTTGGCTAGGGCACTGGGTGATGCGGTGAATAACATTTCAGTTAACTAAAAGCTTCCCACTAAACTTGTGAAACTGCCTAGACATTTCCAGTCTGGGAATTGGAACCTGGTTACTGCTGAATTTTGTTTTACTACCATGTTTGACTAGTTTTAACTCATTATAAGTAATTATAAATTGCTAATGTAATAACCAGTCAAATTAAACAGCATAACAGTCGGTTTGGCAACATAAAAAAACTAGAAATCAACTTTCCTTATGAAGATAGTCATATTATCAGGTTGTCTTTTCTTCTGCTCATCCCTTTGGACTCCTTTCTTTCATTTTCTTCTATTTCTTCCTTAACTTTATTTTATAATATATCCTTCCTTTTGTCATCAAAACATTACTGCTTATTGACTAGTTTAAAAGTGTGAATTATACAAAATTCAAAACATATGTACAAAGGGGCAGAGAAATATTTGTTACCGATCCAATTGTTGGTTCCCATTAAAGTGTTCAAAGAATATTATTTGCTCATAATTTGTAGCAGTAAAGTACATAAAATAACATACTGTTTGTTAATTTGTATATAAAATAACATATTGTTTGTTAACTTGGCACTATTAGTATAAAATGCTATGTAGTTTTAAATCTTACGCAACTCTACAAATGCCCAACCGTACACATTCCTAGAGGCACAAAGATACTTATATTTACATAACCTATCCCAAGGTACATAAGAAGCTAAGAGCATGGTTACCTCGGGCATGGGTTTATTTGGTACCAGGGACTGGGATGAAGATGTTTTGCACCCTTTTGTGTCTTTGTTGCTGAACCTTGTCAATGGATTGCCTATCAAAATATCTTTAAGCAGTTTGTAAACAGCAACTTAAAAAAAACTATTTGTTAATATCCTTTTCCCATTTTCTTTTGGTTGTCATTTTTTTGTGTGTGTGTTGGGGGAGATACCAGGGATTGAACTCAGGAGCACTAGGCCACTGAGTCACAACGCCAGCCCTATTTTGTTTTTTATTTAGAGACAGGGTCTCACTGAGTTGCTTAGTGCCTTGCTGTTGCTGAGGCTGGCTTTGAACTGGAGATCCTCCTGCCTCAGCCTCCTAAACTGCTGGGATTAAAGATGTGTGCCACTGTGCCCAGCTTGGTTGTCATTTTTCTTCCCCCTTTTGAAATTATTTTTTTCGTCTAACTGAAACTCTGCACCCTTTAACCAAAAACTTCCCATTTCCCTCCCCTCCCTCCCCAGCCCTGCCCCAGCCCTTAGTAACCACTATTCTATTCTCTGCTTTGCAAGCTCAACTTTTTAAAGTTGTTGCATATAAGTGAAGTCATGCAGTATTTTCCTTCTATGCCCTGCTTATTTCATTGAACATAACATCCTCCAGGTTAACCCTACTATAACAAATGATAGGATGTTGGGCCTTTTTATATTGACTTAAAAATGTCCTGGAGATTAAGAAAATAATGTATTTTTTTCCCTATCAGATGTGTTGCAGATACTTCAGGTTGTTTTTTGTCTTTTGATTTCATTTATATATTTATCTAGATTTTTGTCTTATAGTATTTTTTAGTTTCTATGGGAGTGAAAGTTATCAATACAGTTGATCTTTGTTCCTAATAGATTCATCTTTGCTTATTCTTTTGTATGTTAAAATTTACTTGTAACCCTAAAGTCTGAGCACTTGCATGGTCGCTCTCAGATATGTGCATTGACACAGCAGCCCAAACTTTGACCTGCCCAAGATCCTTGTATCGGGCCTTCCTGTTTCAGCTCTCCTGCTGTTGCCAGGGGAGATCTAAGTGGAGCTGCATTGATCCTAGGCACTTAGAATGGCTTTGGGAGAACTTGTTAAGCCAGGTTTCAGACACAACCGCAGCTGATCTTTGAACGGAGCTGTCTACACCACCCCAGGACATACTGTTCTTGTTAACTGGGCCAAAATGCAATTTTCTGGAATGAAATTCACCAGTCTTTGCAACAGTTTGTGAGACTCCTCTTCCCCCTTAAAACTGTCCAGAGACTGAGAATGTGCCTATTTCCTTTCTTATAATCATAATTCCTGACAAACAAGTAGTGTAATTAGCAACCTGCCTTGCTATTTATGCTATAAAAGCAGGCATCTTCTTGCAAAACCTAAGAGCACAGTTTCATGGCTACTTAAATTCAGTGTCTCCTGGATTCCAATCCTAATAAGTCCCAAAATACATGTAATTATCCTTTGTTCTTGACTAGATTGATTTTTATCTCAGTCAACACTATAAATAAGTGTTCTTTCCATAATCTATCGAGTGCCATGTTTTTTGCACTTTTGTGATTATTTTGTTGGTGATCTTTCTTTTCAAACGGCCCCCAAATAGTCTAGTCTTTCAGAACAGAAGAAAGCTGTGAGGTCTTTTAGGAACAAAATATGGAAATGATACGCTTTGTTCAATTATGAGTTATAATGTGCTGTTGTGAGTTCAGTGTTAATGAATTAACAATAGATAGTAAGTGAGATGCCTTTAAACAGGAACTCAAGGTTATGCATTGATACACTGACAAAAATGTTGTGACCAAAGCCTTACAGGAACCCTTCCTATAATTCTCTTCAAAACAATGTTTCAGTATTCACTAATTCTGTATTTATGAGAACTTCCGTAAAACATGAATACCACGAATAATGACAATTCTATTTTCTTTTATAATTTTAGGTGTGTGTGCATGTGTATTATATGCATAGAGGCCATTTGCTTTGGAAAATATTTTTAAATAAACTAATCATCATCTAGTCCTTCAATGATTTCATTTTCTTATATCTTTGCTTCATGTGGAACTTATTTTGGTGAAAGCTATAAGAAAGTAACTCTCTTATTACATGTACTATTGTGCCAAAGCCATTTATTGAAGACCCACCCCCCTACTAATTTTAAGGTCTTGGTACTTTGCTTAGATTGTGGGTAGTAAGAGTTTCAGAATCACTGCATCTTCTGAAATCCAGCTGGTTTCTTTTTTCCCCCTTATGAGGTGCTGGGGACTGAAGCCAAGATTTTATGTATGCAGAGCACATACTACACAACTGAATTCCATCCCCAACCTCTGAAACCAGATTTATTTTAAAAAATTTACATTGCAGCGGTATTTTTCAAAGTCTCCTGATTTCAATGTGACATGTTCCTCTTCCAAAAATTCCACACTGTTTATAACCATATAACAAGCCAGGAACTGTGGACATGTATGTGTTTCTCTTACCCTTATTGAGTGGGTCAACTAGACTGAGAGATTGTAAATGCAGACTTAACGACTCTTATGGGCACAGTCAAAGGTGTAATTGCTAGAAAGCAGTATCAGATAGGCATGCCTCAGTGGGAAACCAACCCATGTTAATTTTAGTCTTAGATCTACTGAGCTGTGGTTTATCACTTCTTGATTCAGAAAGATATAGCGCTAAAGTCTTTCAGACAAATCAGTGATTATGAAAATGTTTTCCATTTAAAGCTATGCTCTAATAACAAAATAACTACATAATAAAAGAGAAGAGGTATCATGAGATTAATAAAAGGATATAAGACCTCTTCCATAGCCCCACGATTCTGGCTCTTTTACCCAAGGTGAGTCTCTACTATAAAACACATTTTATAAATATGACCATCACTACATATGAAATTATCATTGTCACTATTGTTTCTATCTTATTCATTCAATTGATTAGGTCAGCTTTGGTGGAGAATGTGCAAAGATGGACACTATCTAAATGTGGGTTTGAGGCTGTGCTCTATCTGCTTTGTGACTTGATGGTATGCATTTCTGCTATAAAAAGAGAATATTCTAGGAATGGGCAGGCCAAGGGCACCATTTCAGGCTTCTTGTTACAATAAAAATGAAAAATGAATCTGAAAAGAACAGGCGTGACAGAATATATGTCATGCTAGGGGGCACAAGCCTGGATTACCGATGTCAGCGACGAGGCTGCCTGGCTTCTGCTCCTGGAGGAACTGGCGAACTCGGGGCCAGGCTTTGCTCTGCAGGTCGCTGAAGTAGGGGGCCGTGTTCTCATACACATCATGCACGTGCTGCTTCTCCAGCAGGGCAGCTTCATGATCCATCCTGGGGAAAGCAGGACCCACCCAAGGCAAGCAGGTCAGAGAACGCACCAGAGGTGGCTGAGGGAGGTGCAGACTTCCTGAACTCGGGACCTACAACTGCAAAAGTGGTAGGGTTCTTACGCTTTCTCCATGCTGCAAGGAAACTTTCATGTAACCCCATGGTTGACAAAAGATTAGCAAAGTATGCATTTGCTAATCTTCAGAAAAGAATGGTTGGGGAATGAGCTAATCCTTGTAAGTTCCTGTGCAGATGAATTCTTAAATTTTGGAAGCATAGGCACATTCTTACCAAATGGTTCACTTCCGATAAGATCATTCTATCTGATGCTAAATAGATTTTAACGTTTTATAACAAGTAGTTCTTCACTCCAATCAAGATGCCCTAGGAATTTTACCTTTATAATGTCTTTGGATTTCAGCCATTTTTCCACATCCGTTACTGCTTCTGTTTTAAATAAGGTGCTGATTTCTTGCCTGAATTACTTCAACAGTCTGCAAATGCATTTTCTAACTCTTCAATGCTTTTCCCTCAATTATGCCTTAACTATTTGTGTTTCTTCCAATGTTACCACTTCTCCAAAGGCATTTTATAGTGCAGTTGGTGTAGGAGGTCATGCAGAGCCTTTCTGATCTGGCCTCAACTTACCTCTTAGGATTCATTTCTCACATCTTCCCCCTGGGTATCAAAGAGCCTGGAACACCCAATGATCCATGGTTTCTCATAAGTGATACATTCCCTGACATCCAGGGCCCTGAATAGATACCGTGCTTTATGCGGCTGACTTCTATTCATTCTTGGCATAAGCCTCACTTCCTCCAGGAAGGCTTCCCTGACCTTCCTTGTGAGACGGGGTCAATTAGAAAGGAATAAGAATGGTACAAGGGCAGGTCCTGCTTAGCACTTAATCCTTTATTCTAGTGTGACATATGAGTGAGGGGCAGCCCAGGGAAAAGGCCCTTTTTGGTGGCTTTTACCAATCAGCATTAAAGTATTTTCAATAATTAAAAAACCCATTTGTCCCTACCTGTGCCTAACAGCTAGCTCAGCACTTTCCCTTGGACAATTGCCTCTCTTGTATATCTGTATGTGTCACGAAGTTCTGTAATAGTTGTATTTAGATATGTATCTCTACCATTAGCTGGAAGGCCCTAAAGGGCAGGGACTTGTCTTATATAATGCTGAATCTTTAGCACTTAGGCAGAGTAGGCCCCCAACAAATGTCACACAGGAGAGTGAGGCAAAGGGGGGGACCCTCCACTGCCAAGAGTGCTTGTTCAGTGTGACAAAAGGAAAGTATTGTCCCTGGATAGCTTCTGTCCTCTCTTCCCTACCTCCAGCCTGTGAAGTGGGAGGCACTTGGGTAAAATGGCATCTACCAGGTCATGTCACTGTAAAGTACCTTTTATAAATTCAACAAATATCTGGTGGAAAGATACTTTGTGACTCCCACGCATTCTGGTTTTCATATGTTCATCTCCCGTTTAAGCATCCACTGTTGATTCTTGCACAAAACAATCATTCCCACCAGTATCACCAAATTCCCATGTACCTAATTCCATCATTCCTTCTACTGCAAGAGAGAGAGAGAGAGAGAGAGAGAGAGAGAGAGAGAGAGAGAGAGATAGATATTTTGGGGGGATTTACTCTTTAGAAGCAATAGGCTGTCTTTTATCTTGGTGGGCCTGCCCACAGTCCCTTCAAAACACCCTACCAGACTGCTAACCATATAAATCTAATCTGTGAGGCCTGACAAAACTTCCACCCAAATTGAAAGATTTTTATGTGGCACCTTCAAATGGAATTTACAAAGTAAATATATGGCTGGCTTTAACTGCTCACATAGGAGAAATATCCAAACACTGCATGCTTTTCTTTTAAATCAAAAATCTCAATAGATTTAAGTCTATTTAAATTCCCCCCTCAAGAAATCAACCAGGTGGTATAATTTGGAGAATGCTGGAACAAATACATTTAATTTTATTGTACTTGCAAATGTTAAGTGACAACTGACATAAACTTGATTCCTTCCAATTTGCATTTAAGAAATGGTTCCAATTTAAGCTCAGAATGTGTAGTATCAGAATAGCACTACTTGGAGACATTTCTCTTAATTCTCCCCCAAGTTGCCTGGCCTTGACTATAAGTAACCTTGAGACTGCTGTTCTTAAATGAGTTAGCAATATGAATCCATTTCATTTTTATTATATTTTATAGTTAAGTTTAAATGCTGCAGAATAAATTGCTGATCATGAATATTGATTTATATAGTCGGGGCTATCCAAAATGCTATTTCTAAAACTCTCTGGATTTAAATTTCCTATAATACATTTTTTTTTGGTAGATGGACACAATACCTTTATTTATTTATTTATTTATTTATTTATTTAATGTGTTGCTGAGGATCAAATCCAGTGCCTCACACATACTAGGCGAGTGCTCTACCACTGAGCCCAAGCCCCAGCCCCTCCAATAAAATTTTCTCTGTAGTGTTATATATACTATAAAAGCAAATTCCTTGTGAATTTGGTAGCATGAGTAAGGTAATAGTAAAATAGTAGTAAAATAAGAATGACAGGTACTGTGACACATGCCTGTAATCTCAGTGACTGAAGAGGCTACGATAGGAGGATCGCAAGTTGCAGGCCAGCCTTAGCAACTTAGTGAGGCCTTAAGCAATTTAGCAAGGTCCTGTCTCAAAATAAAACATAAAATGGGTAGGGGATGTAGCTCAGTGGTAAAGCATCCCTGGGTTCTATCCCTAATAGATAAATAACAAAAAGAAAAGAAAAAAAGGAGACAGGATTCCAGTTGAAGCAAGAATATGGAATCAGTTCAGTCAAGTTTCCCAATCTGTGTACTACCAAATTCCAGAGCAATAAAATGTTCCAGATGAAGGGGTCAAGGGTCAAAACCTCAGATTTTGCCCCTTCTTTGATATCCAAAATGTACATTACCATATTATAGGTTTGAGAAACCTGCTAAAGTGTCCCAATTGATTTTTTTTTTTAAATTTGGTTTTCTCAAAATCATTGTGCCTATAATGCTTTTTTCTTTCTTTAAATATCTCTTGTCTTCTTATAGAACTATATTCTGCAGGTGACATTTTGGGAAATGTTACTTTAATGTTTTCCAATTTAAGAGTATCCCCAGAACAAAGGGAACTATATTCTCTGGGTATCCTTCAATATTCATGTAATTTTAAGTGAAGAGTCAGAAGGAAGCCTAACAGTTGCTCATTACCGTGTATCTGAGAGAAGCTGCTTCTGAAGCACATGCTAGATGCTAGCTATGCTGGCTGGACCCACACTGAAAACTGGATCCACAGGGAGACAGTTCATGCGTGAGGCTGGTCCAGCCTTAAGGAGCTGAACTAAGGACCTGCATAGTCAGATGCCTGCAGGTGGCTGGATGTGGTCACTTGGAGCCTGTGTTTGGGAATCTATTTTAAACCATGCACATGTAGATGAATCAGGAGAAAACTGATCTGAAAAATAAATGTAGCTATAGTGAGAAAAGCAGGACACAGTCTTTTTATAAAGATTGTGGAGAGGAGAAAGGGAAACTGAGAGGGATAACTTATATCTGATCTTCTTGTTTATTTTTTATGTTTTTTGGTACCAGGGATTGAACCCAGGGGCACTCAACCACTAGGCCACATCCCCAACCTTTTTTTTTTTTTTTTTGTATTTTATTTAGAGACAGGGTGTCACTGAGTTGCTTAGGCCCTCACTAAGTTGCTGAGGCTGGCTTTGAACTTGTGACCCCCCCCCCCCACCCCCCCCCCTCCCCCCCCCTCCCCAGCCTCTAGATCAGCTGGGTTACAGGCGGTGCTCCACTGTGCCTGGCTTATCTGATCTTAGTGTTTTAGTTCCTGTGTGGGGTTTAGGCAGCAGTGCAGGGTAACTCAACTCCAAGAAACCTGTTGACTTTATAGGACTGGGCTTGCTTTTGATGTACTTCATTCCCTAACTTTGACTCTCCATCACATCCCGTTTTAGCTGTAAAATATTCTTCGCTTCAACTTATTTCTGTTTCTTTTAACTACATCTTTCCTATGCAGGTACACTGTTTTTAATTAAAGAACATTTCAAAACATTGAAAAGTAAAATATGATTTTACACTTCAAATAACTAGTGTTCTGGATGCTGACATGTATTGTTACAATATCTTACCTTCATTGCTACTATTCAAGCAGTCTTGTAAAGCTTACAATGGAACCTTGAAATAAACAAACAAACAAAAAAATAGAATGCTAACAGTCAAAAGAAATCATAAAAATTAGAACAAAACCAGTAAGTAAGGGTTGGAGATGTGACTCAATGTTGGAGCACTTGCCTGGCATGCACAAGGCCCTGGATTCAATCCCCAACACTAGAAAACAAACAGCAACAACAAAACACCACAAGCAAAACTGAGAACAGAAAGTAGTAACTAATTTTGCCAGGAAGCTGATGGAAGCACACAAGAGCCCCCTGGGTATTAAATCAACTCTGCTGTCCCTCCCCTTCCCTGACAAACTCTGCTTGCCCTCCCTAGGTCTGGGACTGGTATTCAGGAACATGCTGCTTTTAGCTACTTCTTAATACTTCCTATACTTCTTCATGACCTATCAATCATTTGCAAATCTTTCTTATTCTGACTCTAAAAAAAGCCCAGTCTGTGCTTTCCCTTCCTGTTTGCTTCTATTGCAGGCATCCTGCTGACGCTTCAGAGTTCAAGTTCTTTTTGTTTTCCTAATCTCTGAAGTAATTTAAGATTTTTTTCCCCCTAATTATCAAAGAAAGCCTAAATGTACTAGATTCTGATTAGTGTCTGCCAGAGCTTGAGATAGAGGGTCGGAACTGACTGCAAAGGGGAATGAGGATATTTTTCAGGGTGACAGAAATAGTCCATGTTTTGATTGTAGTGTTGGTTATGCAACTTTTATTGTTGTGGTTTTCTTGCAGTGCTGAGGCTGGAACTCAGGGCCTGTGCATGCTAGGCAACCTTGCTACCACTGA